AATGGCTATTAAATCTGGTTATTGTAAGTTGTTCGCCGTTTTTTCTTCATTTCGGTTATTAATATCTTGTTTTTTGTTGTCGCTAACAGGTGGACTTTTGTGACCTTGTAGCAATACCAACGGGGAAGAGAGAGCCCAAGTTCGAAGGTCTACTGTACGATCGAGTGGACAAGTTGTTCGAAGTCTCTCATAATAAACGACGATATCAGCGACTCGTGAAGGATTCCCGATTAGAGTTGGCTGGTTTATCTCCCGGGATACTTGACTCTTCATTTTTACCAGGTAATTTCCTTGCTTACTTTGTGGCATTGTTCGCATTGACGAGGTCGGTCTAACTTTGAATTTATTGTACCAGTCTATTATCCATTGTTGGGATACTTCGGTTTTGGAGATCCCGTAGAAGCAGAAGAACACCAGAGACGTAATCCGAATTTTGACTTAAAGAACAAAGTCGGGAAAAACAAAAATCTCTGATCAACAGAGATGGCCGGGCGCATGAACCTTCTGAAGTCATGGAACAAGAACCTTAACCGTTCTCAAAGCGCTGTCGGTGAACCATCGTCCACAAGGGTGGAACCGACACCGGCGATCGTCAGTGAGCCGTTGGTTACCGACGTCCCACCACTTGAAGTTGCTCCAATCCAACAAGTGATGACGTCGGTAGAGGAGCCCACCGCAGAGACCGACATCACGCGGGAGGTGTCGGAAGAGCCGCTTCTTAATGTGGTTCAACGGCGTAAGAGATCCAGCGTGTCGCATGTAGCCGAGAGGATGAAGAAAAAACCAAACACCGGCGCCGGTAAAGACAAAGAGGAGGAGGAACCTGAAATCATCTTGAGGGACTCCTTCCTCAAAGTTAACGAGAAGAAGGCGGCGGAGCTGACGTTACCGGAGGGTGTGTTTGACCCTTGGTTCTCGATGTTTCAAACGGTCGCTGAGCCAAAAGTGACGATTAACCATCGGGTCCCCAGTGAGGCGGTTAAGGCGGCGAAAGTTCCTTTGATGTCGTGGGACCCGAAGACTCATGCTGGAAATGCATCTCTGCCTGACGACCAGAAATTCAGCTACGCCCGAGGTTGCTTAGGACGGGCGTTGGTGAGCTTTATTGCTGCTGAAGAGAGTTACCGGGGTAGAGCGCACGAACTTGATGAGAAGCAACATGAGCTGAGTTTGAAGAAAGGTGCCATAGCGTCTCTGGAAGACGAAAAGTCTCGTTATGAGGCGACAATATCGGAGAAGGATGCTCAGCTGACGGCAGCCCAAACCAAAGTGAGCGCATTGAAAACCGAAAAGGAAAATCTTTTATTGGCGCATGACCTCATATCGGTTCAGCTGGCCAAAGTTGAAGAAACAGCCAGAGAAAAAGATGAGCAACTTATGAGGCTGAGAGCGGAGCTTCAAGCTGTCCGCAAGGACCGATCTGAGAAGGACGCCGAACTGATCCGAAGTCGCGAGGCCCATGAGACTGCTATGAGCAAACTTCGTCAGGAAATGACAGCCGCAGCTGAACTCAAGTTTCAAGAAGGTGTTGACGTCGGTAAAAAGACTGTGGTTGAATCCGACAAGGCGTTGAGTGCAGATGCGGTAACTGAATGGGACTTGGAGTTGAATGCCGCATTGACAGTTCGCTGGGTGATCGATAGAGTGGAAAGCGGCATCTACACTATCGACGAGCTGCGCATCTTCCTCTTGCACAAAATGGAAAAATATGGCCTCAACCCTGAGATAAAAAATGCTCATATCCCGGCCGACCAAGATGAACGAGACTTTGCCGACCGACTTCTGAAACAGAAGGAGAGTCGGATGTTAGATTTAGACATGATGCGGTTGTCGGAAGAGCGCAGGGCCAAAATCCGTCGAGCCTTTGTCAACATGGTCCTTGAAGTGGAGAAGATGAAAAGCCCGATTTGGCAAACATGTGTATTGAGACGATTGCCGAGGCGTTCGTCGTTGAAACTTTGGAGGGCTTATCCGACGAGGAATTAATGGAGGCAATTACCGGCTTTGCCCTAAGGAAGGTGACCGAGGACGACGCCAAAGCCAAAGGGTGGCTGACTGAACTGATCCCCTTCGACGACGACCGAGTCTTGCATGATGACGACGTCGTCGTTATAAAAGAAAGTGACGTCGTTCGCGCTATGGAAGAAAAGGAGGAGGAGGTGATGCAACGCCTGGGCGAGAGATTAATAACTCATCTGGAGGCGACGGATAAGGGCAAAGCCGAAGCTGGGAACTCCCACTCTTTCACAGCCGGAGAGGCTTCGTCGTCGGGGACCCAAAAGGATGCATAAAATGTGTTCTATGTTTTTCCTTTTTTTTTTTTGATGTAATGACATGGTTAATGAAATTTAATGTTTTGGTTTTATGTTTCATGTATGTATTGCTTTGACATTTATTGTACCAAGTCAAAACATGTCGGAGGAAGATAAACGAACGTTCAATGGATCACGCTCGTAATCATTCCGACGTGATATTTAATATTTATATTGGAACAAGTCATAAAAGACTTGCTTTTATATTTAATATTTGATGTCGGCACAATTTATAGTTTATCCGACATCTACAAACTTTTTATTGGAACAAGTCATAAAAGACTTGCGTTTTACTGTAAACACTTATTGCGAGCTCATCAAATCAACGTCGGGATTTGACATTATAGAGCATAAGCCTCCCCAAACCAACTTCAGGGCTTGGAAGTATCCGACTTTGTCGCATTTGGCCAGGTCATACCGACTTCAGGGTATGAAACACGTTTAGCCTTAGCAACGAGGACCGATTTATTGTGGTCCGAGTGATCGAACAAATTATAGAGGTTCGTCACACAAACTTTATCGATAGCAAAATATGGTTCTTGTACAGGAGTAGGACAAAAACTTTTTACACGTCAAGGACAGAACTTCGGCTTTCAAGCTCACTGGTAATATTTCTTCAGATAAGTTGTGTGCCAGGGATATTGAAGGGGAACTCCATCTGGAGTTTCGAGTCGATAGGTACCATTAGAAATCAAACGATTTACTTTAAAGGGTCCTTCCCACTTCGGTTGTAATGGGCCGACATTGGCCCCAGTGACTCTTTTCAGTACAAGGTCTCCTTTGACAAAGGAGCGTGGCTTGAGTCTTGAGTTGATGTACTTTTCACTACGTCGTTTATAAGCGGCATTTCGAATTTCAGCATCAGCCCGTAACTCATTGACCAAATCGAGATTGGCTTTCAAGTTTGCCGAGTTAGTTTCTTCAGAGAAGTGAGTGACCCGATATGTCGGAGAAGCTAGTTCAACCGGTATTACAGCTTCAGTCCCGTATGCCAACGAAAATGGAGTTTCTCCAGTCGAATTTCTCTTCGTCGTCCGGTAAGACCAGAGAACATAAGGCAACTCGTCAGGCCATGATCCCTTTGCTGCTTCAAGCCGAGTTTTCAGACCATTCTTGATAATCTTATTTACGGCTTCTATCTATCCGTTTGCTTGTGGATGATAAGGTGACGAAAAGAAGTGCTTGATGCCGTAATCTTCACAAAATCTTTCATATCGCTTTCCTTCAAACTGACGACCGTTGTCGGTTATGATCGAGTTCGGTACTCCAAACCGACAAACGATTGATTTTCATACAAAATCGATCATCTTTTGTTCCGTGATGGTTACAAGAGGCTCGGCTTCAACCCACTTAGTGAAATAATCGGTAGCTAAAATAGCAAACCGAACACCCCCTTTGGCTGTTGGAAGTGGGCCAATCAAATCAATTCCGCATTTTGCAAATGGCCACGGGCTATAGATTGACTTAAGGAGTTCAGGATGTTGATTAACGTTAGGGCAAATATCTGGCATTTGTGGCATTTTCGCACCCAGCCTGCGGCATCTTTTCTGATAGTCGGCCAGTAATAGCCTTGTCGGAGAATCTTGTGGGATAAGGCTTGAGCTCCTTGATGAGTACCGCAGACTCCTTCGTGTACTTCTTGAAGAACTCGTTGAGCGTCAATCTCTGATAAACACTTAAGCAATGGGGTAGAATATCCACGCTTATACAACGTTCCCTGATCAATAGTGAAATGAGCAGCACGAACTCAAAGAGTGCGAGCTTCTTTCGGGTCTTCAGGTATGGCCCCGGTTTGAAGATAGTCGACGATCGGATCCATCCACGTCGGATTTGAAGTCAGTGGGGCGGCGTCAACCATGACGATGTCGGTAGAGACTGTTGATGAGGTCGCCTGTTGAGTAATTTGCACGAACTCGACATTATTCAAATCGGTCGATGAGGCCAACCGTGAAAGAGCATCTGCTTGAATGTTGGATGACCGAGGTATATGCTCCAACGTCATTTTAAACCGTGTCAACTTCTTCTTTACGAGATCAAAATATGGCAACAACCGTGGTTCTTTAACTTCATAAGTACCATTAATATGGCTGACTAACAACTGAGAGTCGGAAAATATTCGGAGAGAGGAAACATTCATGGATTCGGCAAAGCGTAGGCCTGATAAGAGGGCCTCATACTCGGCTTCGTTGTTGGTGGCCTGGAAGGTAAATGCTACAGAGTAGCAAAACACTTGTTGGTCAGGACTTACTAAGACAATTCCTCCTCCAGCTCGTATAGCGGTGGATGATCCATCGACGTAGAGAGTCCATGTCGGATCTTCAATGGATGCATTGACAGTGGGGGTAAATTCAGCAATGAAATCAGACAACACCTGAGCTTTGATAGCAGTTCGTGGACGGTACTGAATATCAAACTGTCCCAGTTCTATCGGCCACTTAATCATTCTTCCCGACGTGTCAGGTCGGTGAAGAACTTGTCGGAGAGGGTATGTCGTAAACACGATAATTGAATGTTCCAAAAAATATGGGCGCAGCTTCCGCGCAGCGATGATCAAAGCAAAGGCTAACTTCTCCATATGCGGATATCGCAATTCAGCGTCATGTAAAGCCTTGCTAACATAATATATCGGGAACTGTTGAAGCCCATCTTGTCGTATAAGAACAACACTAATAGCAACGTCACTTACACCAAGGTACAAAGATAGAGGCTCATCAGGAAGTGGCTTCTGCAATGTCGGTAACCGTGAGAGAACTTCTTTGATGTTGTCAAAAGCATTCTGACATTCCATGGTCCATTCGAACGGTTTCTTTTTTTTGATAGCGTCAAAGAACGGCTTGCAATGATTTGTAGACTTTGAAATGAATCGATGAGAGCTGCCAGTCGACCAGTTAAAGCTTGGACACCCTTGATAGATGTCGGGGGAGCCAGGCCAAGTATGGCTTGAATCTTGGCGGGATTGGCCTCGATCCCTCTCTGACTCACCATATATCCTAAAAACTTCCCTGATCCAACTCCGAAAGTACACTTCTTGGGGTTAAGCACCATAGAATATTCTCGGAGAATATCAAAGACCTCGAAAAGATGGGCGATGTGATCAGAGGCCTGTTCTGATTTCACTAACATGTCGTCCACATAAACTTCCATCGTGTGGCCGATCAAACGAGCAAACATCTTATTGACCAACCTTTGATACGTGGCCCCAGCATTCTTCAATCCGAAAGTCATCATGACATAGCAATAAAGGCCTCGAGCTGAGTAGAACGAGGTGTGTTCAGCATCATCAAGGTGCATGGGAATTTGGTTATAGCCGGAATAGGCATCCAAGAAACTCATAAGTTGATGTCTCGATGTAGCATCTACCAAATAATCAATGTGTGGAATGGGGTAGCTATCTTTCGGGCACGCTTGATTCAAATCGAAAAAATCTATGCACAGACGCCAAAGGCCGGTGGCTTTCTTGACCAAGACAGGGTTCGATATCCACGTCGGGTATTTGGCTTCTTTGACGAAATTATTGTCTATGAGCTTGTTTACTTCCTCTTCAAGGGCCTTCTGGCGATCCGGGCCGAACTTCCGGCGTTTCTGGATAACGGGCTTGACAGTTTTATCCAAACTCAAGCGATGACATGCTTTCTGCGGGTTAATTCCTTTCATATCTTCATGCTTCCAAGCGAATACATCGGAGTTTGACTGGAGAAATTGAATTAAGCTTGATCGAATGGGTTCTTGAAGGTTAGCTCCAATGCGCAGTGATTTTTGCTTATTCGATCCATCCACGTAAATGGTTTTGACATCTTCAACTGGTTCCGCTCGGGGATGATGATTTCCATCTTTGAACTGCATCCGTGGATCCATATCTTCATGCATTCCTGCGTCTTTCTCATGAAATGGTTGCTCTTGATCAAGGACTTCGATTAATATCTCGGGAAAAACCGACGTCATAGGGATATCGGTATCCGTAAGAGGCATGTCGGTATCTGCTCGAGGCATGTCGGTATATGGAATAAGCTGATTGGTTCTTTCAGCATTAAAAGTTGAATTGTTCAGCTCAACGGAGTTATCAGCACCCTGCTCTTCAATCATATGAAAGCTACGTGAGGTTGAGAGAAACATCAGACTTCGGGCTTCTCGTTGATCTCCGTAATGAGTGCCTTCCCCTTCAATGGTGGGGAACTTCAGAGCATAATGAAAAATTGACACAACAGCACGAAGTTTGTAAAGTGCAGTTCGTCCTATTACGGCATTATACTCGTTCTGGACATCCAAGACTTTGAAGGTCTCCATAATGATCTTGGATTGTGGTCCAAAGCCGCCAAACCGAATGGGGAGTAGTATTTCGCTGACAGGACAAGAAATGCTTCCATCGAAACCTTGAATTTGGTCGTTGCAAGGCCTAATGTCTGCTGGGTCCAAACCCAATTTTTTGAACGTACGAAGCATCAAAATACTTGAGTAAGCTCCTGTGTCGACCAAAATCCGATGAACTGGAATCCCCCCTATCGGAGCCGTTATAATAAGAGCATCGGAATGAGGATGAGCAAATAAATTGGCATCTTCAATACTGGATGTGATAGGACAATTCCGTTTGTTGATGGTATCTCGAAGATCAACATTCATGACTCGTTTCTCGGCATTCTGTGCCTCCCGGGCATATAGGCTTTGACTTTTCGTCGAGAAGTATCTAACTGCTTGTTATTGGAATTGACTCGAGGTATGCAGTGTGAAGAGTCTAAGGCGTCATGTATCCTGGACTTCCTGCAGTTATCAGTCGAGGTTCCGACATGAGTAGAAAACGTGAAAACCTCCTTATCATTTGCGCGAGCTCTTTTCTGGTTAACAGGTCGGTTATCATCCTCTTCATCATCCGAAAGATCCAAGGGCCTTCCCTTCCGGCGATTACCAATGTTTCGAAACTTTTGAAGCTAAGGTTGTCCAATTAACCGTAAGAGTGCTGATAAAAGGCTGATACACTCATCGGTATTATGCCCCGGAGACTTATGATACGCGCAGTATCGAGTTTTGTCCAACTTGTCTTCAGGGGTTCTCACATGCCTCGGGTCTGGAATAATCCCTTTTCCTTTTAGTTCTTCATATATAGTGGCTGCTCCGGTGGGATAAACGGCATGATAGCCTGTCCTGACGTTGTCTGAATACTGATCACGAGCAGCCCGAGACTCTGGAGTATTTTCATATCCTTTGGAGGGGTTCCGAAACTGTGCTTTCCCAAAGTTCTTCTCTTTCTTCTTTTTGGCGTCCGGTTCAGTCTTGCTTTCTTTCACCGAGAAGTCGAAACTGGGAACCGACATCGATTCTTCGACAATAATGAATTGTTGAGCTCGCACAAGAAATTCTTGAAACGTAGCAGGTTTATTTTGACACAAGGTCCAACGAAACATTGAGTTGGGCTTCAGTCCAGCAATGGCAGTTACTAACAAGGTTTCAGGGTGACAAGGCTCCATGTTCTGAATTCGGTCATTGAACCGAGACACGTAGTCTTTAACAGTCTCATCGTCCTTTTGCACAGTATTAGTAATTGATTCTTTCGGAATGAGACAAATTTGAGCACCGATAAAGTGCGATCGAAAGGCCGCACGTAACTGTTGCCATTTCCAAATCGAATGAGGTGGGAGAGTATAGTACCATTTTTGTGCTCGTGGTCCCAGTGTAAGCGAAAACATCCGACATCTCAAAGCATCTGAGGCACCATGTAGACCCATCCACGATGTATAATGGCCCAAGTGTGCATCCGGATCCGATGTCCCATCATACATGCCAATTTGTGGAATTTTTACCTTAACAGGAAGTGCTTCCGCAGTAAGTTCCGGAGCTAAAGGTGAATCTGCTTCAATAATGACATTTCCCGACGTCGTAACATGTCGGGGAGAGTCTTCCTGCGACTTCTGTCGAGTCTCAAGTTCAGCCAAGCGTTTACGAAGAGTTTCAATTTCTTCCGCGCTATGTCTTGAAAGACGATTCCATTCAATCTGGCGCCGGAGATCTTCACGAGCGTGAGGCGTTGATGAAACGGGTCTAGGACGTGGCGAAATTCTTTGGTGATGAGCAGAGTGGCTTTCAGCAGTCATTTCCTGTACAGGGGGGTCCTCCGGGGCTTGATTGTTCGTTATTGGATTAGCAGTTACATGAGGTAACTCTACTCGACGTGGAGAAGTATGGTGAGGTTGCGACGTAGCATGAGATGCTGCCGCATGTGTTTCAGGGTCATGACGAGTGTGGGTTGGATGTTCTGTCGGATTAGTGGTTAACGGCATCGATAACGGTACCGTATTCTAGTTTCTGGGCATAGCTCGAGCTATCAACGAGGTTAAACCTTGAATAAACTCCGGGTTTTGAAGAAAGTTTGTGATGTTCGTGACCGGAGGAGGTGGTGTTACACGCCGCGGAGAATGGTTAGTCGATTGGCTCTGGCCAGGATGAGTTATGTGGTCTCGACCAGACTGCGACATGATGGCTTCGAGCGTGAAGATGGCTTTATCAGCGAAAATTAACTTCAAAATGTGCCCTTCCTCTAGCGCAAAACTGTTGTTAAACGAGAATTAACAACTATATAATCGATATGGATTTGCAATAAACTTAAGATAGAGCAATAAAGGCTTGTATGAGCGGCGAAAAGAGATAGAATTTTTTCTGAATATTATTGTATGCGTTTCTTGACTGGCTTGGAGAATTGTTTTTTTTCTTTTTATATTTATTTACAACATTTATCTAATATGTAATCATTACACAAGACTAGTCAACGGCGGCTAATTGCCATTCATCTTAATAACGTGCCACTTGGCCAGGTGTGATGATGAGTTGTGCTGAGTTGGCACCGCCTTGTGATGTCGGTCTAGCGAGTCATAGATATCGGTTTGAGCAGTTATAACCGATACGTCGTATCCGACATGTAGTAACCGACATGTCATAACCGACATAAGATATCGGTTAATAGACGACGATGTCGGTTCTTGATGAATTTTTACCCGACAAGTGATTGCCTTGAAATTGACGTCAGAACCTTGAGATCTGTTAAGGCATCACCTACTCCATACGACTTCGGTCATCCTTCTACTGAACATAATCAAGTGGTCAGCGTCGCCTAATTCGGTTTACTGAAAATGATGTCAACAATTCTGGGGTAATCCTGAATTTATCAACATGGCATCATCATCTCTTTTAAAGTTCGGTTCTTGCGTTCAGCAACACCATTCGACTGTGGAGAATAAGGGGCCGTTGTTTGATGAATTATGCCATATTCAGAACATATTTGTTCAAAAGGAGCTACATACTCCCCACCCCTATCACTTCGGATTATTTTAATCTTTTTGCCGAGTTGATTTTCAACTTCGGTCTTATAATTTTTAAAAGCTTCCACAGCCTCGTCTTTGCTTCTTAAAAGATACAAGTAGCAAAACCTTGTGCAATCATCAATAAAAGTTATAAAATATCTTTTACCCGTTCTTGTTTGCACAAACTTCAAGTCACATACATCAGTATGAATTAAACCCAACGGTTCAGTATTTCTTTCCACCGAATGAAAAGGTAATTTAGCCATTTTGGCTTCAACACAAATTTCACATTTTTTGTGTGATTCAATTTTAGAATTAGGAATTAATTCGAAGTTCATCAACCGTTTAATTGCATTTAGATTCACATGTCCTAATCTAATATGCCATAAATCAGAACACTCCACGATATAAACAGAAGTATGATTTTCATTATCATTGGAAACGGTTACACGGCTCACAGCCAATACATTCATTTTAAATAAGCCATTGTCGAGATAGCCACGACCAAGGAACTTACCATACTTGCTAAGAATAAACGTCTTAGCTTCAAACACTAACTTAAAACCATGCTCTACAAGAAGAGATCCGGAGACCAAATTCTTGCGGATGTCTGGGACATGCAGCACATCCTTAAGCTTCAACTCCTTTCCAGAAGTCAGCTTCAGCACCACGATGCCAACTCCAGCCACATCAGACGAGGAGGAGTTGCCCATGTGGAGCTTTCGACCATTTGAAGGAGTGTATTCAGAAAACAACCCCTTGTCGGAACACACGTGGCGAGTGGCACCAGTATCAATGTACCACGCCCTTGGGTTATCCACCAAATTGGCTTCAAACACCACCGCCGACATATCCATGTCGGTTAGTTCACTCGACACAGGGCCGTGTTCAGCAATGAGGGCACCATGTTGTGCCTTCTTCAGACCAACCTTTTTAGGCTTCCTGCAGTCCTTAGCCATATGGTTCGGCTTTCCACAGTTGTGGCAATTACCCGTAAATTTCCACACTTTGGCAGGCTGCTGCTTCCCTTTGTTAAGGGGCTTCCTTTTGCTCGAGTTGCCTTGCTCCATCAAGTTGGCACGAGCTTCCATCATCGGGGCCTTCCCCGAAGACTTCCGATTGTCCTTTTCAATCCGAAGACGAACAACCAGATCTTCAAGACTCAT